TATGTACGTAAAGTTATGTCAAGCTAACGTACATAACTATGTCAAGAAAATAATGAGATTTTAATAGGTATTTCATCATATTTCAGTATAAAAGGTGCGGCTACGTACTACTCATTAAAAGCTTTTTAAAAGCCTTGCGACTCTTATTGCGTGTGTCTCGTCGTATCTTGTTTAAATTTTAGGCAAATAAAAAGTTTTTTTTTCTCTTGACTTGCAAATAAAAAATATGATACAACTAAAACGCATCCAATGTAACTCAAAACGATTTTATTTGCAAGAATATATCGAAAATTTGGTTTATCGGTACTCAGTTTCATATTAAAGTTTTAAATGCAGAGAAACTGATCATAATTTGCCAGTATGGTCTGTTTGAGTTTAAATATGCATGATTTAATTTTAATGAAATTTATGTTTGATCTGTTTTTCGTTGATTTCCCGCTGAAAAACGAAAATTATAAATAATTAATTCAACATTTGAAGCAGGAAACAAAGGCACGATAATAAATTATAAAATAAGGTATCAATTTCATAAACTAAGCAGAGTTTCATCCATGACCTATCGAGGGAAAAAAGTTTCACAAAAATTGGATGTAACTTTTATGATATAAAAAAATCAATCGATTCTCTCGTACCGAAGGCGAAAAGATTTCCGATACGTTATCGCGTGCAAAACGTTTTTCTACGCTTACACAAAAGTGGCAGTTGGCACGATTCGCACAGGCAAGCGTATACGACGTACAGCACAGACATGCTCTCAAGCTTTCCGTTCGTCCCAATAAAAAGTTGAAGAACAATAAAGTTATGCCCGGGGAGTCGAGTATTATCGCAGGGCAATGTTGTCAGGCAGGTTCAAAAGTGGCGTCGTATATTCGCGACGCGATCGTTAATTGGAAACGCGAGCAGCGTTTTTTATATACCCGCCCCGAGAATGGACTGCGTGACACTGCGCGTAAGCTTTACCGCCGACTTTTCGAATTACGTGTTTTAATTAGAAACGTCGAAAAAGACACTATCTAATAAAAACAACAAATGTTACCTCCGTTACTCGGTACTGCGTAGACCAACATCCCGAGGATCATATAATCGATGGCTCGATTAAAAGGAGCTTTTTGCCTTTTATTATAGATAGGCTGTATTTTGACTCTTTGATCTCCGGTATTATTCATTAATTACGATTCCGGAGGGCCAATACAGCTAAATTGTATAGGGATTAAGCTACACAGCAATATAAAGTTGAGCTTTGGCCATTGGAACATCGATGACGGATCACCTTGATGATGGTTACACAGGCGAGATGCAAGTTCTGAACGGACTCTGCACATGTAGTAAACACAGCGAGTGGCGTACACTGCAGGATCAAGTCTAATTGCTGAATCCCAACGCCTTACCTCAGCGTAATTCGTACTAATGATTATATCTCGTGGTTAGTCCGTTTGCACGTGTACATCTGTATACCCATATATATGCATGCCATGTACATATACGTGTATGTATAATGCATGTATATGTAGACACGCGGTATATGTAGACACGCGGTATATGTAGGCGTACATGCGCTTTGAGAATCAACCCGTTCATCAAATATGACAGCTATAACGTCGCCCTGTTATTGCCTATGTATAAGCTGTACATATCCGACAGGTAACAAGAATTTTATAATCCTCAGATTGGATTCGGATTATTGTTGTTATGATGATCGAGATGACGGTATTACGAATGTTTGGTTTGTTGCAAATAAACATTTTTCGAACACCTGAACTCTACTGTAGTATCACTCGTAAAAACTATACCTAATATTGAGATGAGTAGTAGGTTGAATTTATTTTTTGAGAAGAGAACTATTTAGCAGATAAAAAATTCGATTAAATAAATTTTGATATTTGTAATGCAGAGTAAATAAAGTTAATCATTAATTTAAACAACGGAACGGCTCAATAAAAGTTTCTCATAGAATTTTCATGCACTTTTTTCGACTTTCCGGAAGCATATTGAAAATTAAGAGAAAAAAAAATGGTTAAACTTCTAATGCCTATAGTAACTATAAAAGCGCAGATAATTGAAAGCTTTCATGATCGGATTATCGGACTTGGTGAAGTGCATCCTGATTTATGGAAGTGCGTATAATGAAACGTACACCTAGGCGCGCCCAGATAATGCAAATAATGCAAGAAAGAAGGACAAAGACAACTCCAGGCAGATTATTCCGTACTTCACAGACATATATATGTAGGTAGTATGTGCCACACAGCCACTCTAATCCTTTGCAGCTTTCGGGGTCTAGACTAGGTACTGCATAGTTATTGCGCGCGCTCGTATACTGACGCGGGTGCTCTGCCTCCATACACACCTTAACCATTGGAATGGGTGAAATTTGGTTTCATCCGCGTTAAGAATATGCGCGCGTCAGCCTTGCAACGTGGCCCGAGAAACGAAAAAGGGGCTTGCGGTTACACATGCTATGTGGTTGAGTGCGCGGTTCTCTTTCTCTCTCCCTTACATGTAGGTTATATTTGACAAAAAAATGAGTATTTTATAGTTATTTTCTAGTCTAGTTTCTCCAACTAAAATACTCGTTAGTTTCCGTATTTCTCGACGAATCAAGACTTTTTTATTCAATTTCTGCACGTGTTTATGTAGAAATTTGATTAAAGTAATTATTTACACACTGGTTTTCTAAGATTTATCAACATTCTTTTATCTGAAATTATATAGTTTGAAATTTGTTGAAATCGAACAATTGTCATTGGTACAGTTGCAATGTCTACGTATGAAAACAAATTACCCCGACTAATAAAGTGCGAGACTAAGTACTGTAATTAATTTGCAATTGAAAAAGCTTTAAGAAATATAAGTTGTATACGGCAAAAAATGAAACATATTTCGCCGTGCTGCAGAATTTCTTTATAATCTCAAACGAGGGTTTTCACAACTTGAATTCTCATTTTCCAGGGCTCTAACCTATTTATCTCGCAGTAGTTCCCCGAAACAAGTGTCTGAAATTGACTCGTACATTTTTTTTTACTGCACGTCCTTGCGGATTTTGTGCCTAAGAAAACGAAAAGAAAGAAGAAAAGAGAAGAAAAAAGCTGATGCGCCACGTGCGTGCGCGTAGCAAACGTAGTAGTGAGACAGGCGGGGTAAAAAAGAATGTGAGAAAAGATAAGAACGCGTGATTTCGCTCGCTTCTTAACTAAGTAGCCTGCTGCGTTCGCTCGTTTCGCTGCTGGCTGCTGCTGTTGGTCCTATAACCATCTTTTTATACGACGCAGATGCGACGCAAAAAAAAGAAATGATCTTTTTTAAAGATCTTCGAGACGATAAGTTTGCTTATTCAAAAACATCAAATATCTTTTTTACCACTTGATTTGACAATGAATTTGAAATAAAAATTTTCATCATTTCTACGGTTTTCTCACCGTTAGAATTGTCGCCATACGAATAAATGAACGTGTAAACATCATGTGCTCGTGAAAACGTACACCTCAGACGTTCTCGTTTGCGGTGAGGAGCCTTTATCCAGATATCTCGTTCGTACGCGTCAGCAGATGTAGAAAAGAGTCTGTCTCTCTACTTGTGTGCCTCCTGTACGAGTGCGAGCGTTCCTACAGGAGCTGCGTCTATAACGTTATAGTTTTACCGTGCGGACTGCCGCAAAAGCAACTGCCACTGCTTGTGCTATAGCAGTCCAAAGCCTTAAAAATTTCAGACGAGCAACTCTACTATAATCCGTTGGAATTATTTTTCGGCTTGCATGCTAGATCGGATAAATTGCCAACGCGTGCGCAATTGGCGCACCTACGATCAGATTTCAAAAATTTAATGCAAACTTCTTATTTTCGAGTGAAACAATCGTATTTTTTGGATTTGTTCAAAATTTATGCTATACATATCAAAGCAAATCACATCAGAGCTAGCAAGTCGAGGCAAGGTATCATAATACGTGTAAACATGCTAGCAGCCTCTGCATTAATGATCTATAAACGAAGCCTAAGCCCCAGCCGGCGTACGTGGGAGGGGGATGGGACAGCGCTAAGACGGGTTGGCATCTATAAATTACGCAAATTGATTCAAAAGGGCCGAGCAGCAATATTACGCGCGTGTGCGAAGCTCCAAATTATCCAGTTTGTTGGAGGCTCCGCGCGACTCACGCTAGACGCTCGTTTCGCCCTTTCGCACGATGCTTGTGTAGGTATTTGTACGCGACGGAATATTTATGCAAAGCCTTCTAATGATATAGCTTCTTACATGTCCTCGTCGAGCTAATTCATTAGATACGAAATGTCTTTCATGTGTGCTATTTCAGCTTGTCTTGCAGTTGTCTTCTGTACGAGTGTTAAATTCCACTATGAGAACTATTCTATTTGACTGAATTCTATAAGCCCGTGGAACTATTCTTTTCCCTTTATTAGAAGAATTTTATTGAGCTTCTTTATACATTTTACACTGGCTTTATGCCATTCTTTATTAAACTTCTAGAGTAGCTATTTTTATCTCAATGCAAGTTTGGAGAATTCAAATAGTCAAGAGTTCATTGATTGCTTTTCATGACCTACTTGATAAAGTCCAAGGCTCCAACTTACCGACATATCGGACTATTGAAACTGCACTAGAGTAACTTGACTAAATACATCATTGATGAAAATATACAGTCGATAAGATTTATAAGATTTTTGGAACAAATATTGTAAATTGGGTTACCTTGAATCATAATCATTAGTTGATATAACATCAACTTTTTGCTAGTTTTAATAATAGCTGTGCAAGGATCTTTGAATTCTACCATTGTTGATTTTTGTTATAATTTTAAGGCAGTATTTGAAAATTATTTTACATATTGCAACTGTTACGTTTGACTTGGCGTAGTACATAAAATTGCGTAATTAATTTACGTCAAACTTTACAATGCACCATTTTATGAGAAAATAAGTCACGAAAGCAAAAAATAACTATAAATAGTAAATACTGATTTAAGCAACTAGTGTGTTGGGGATTAGTTTAAAGTGAAAAGTACTTTTTCAAAAAAAATGTTGATTTCTCACATTTTTTTACTGTGTAGTTTCATCTTTTCACAAAGTGTTCATGTACGGGCAGAAGAAGAAATTCATTGTTTAGGCATATCAATGAAGGTATATGAGGATATAAAATCATTTTTCCATAACATTTTGGGCAAAAAGACCGAAAAAGAAGACATACGTTTTTATTTCGCTTCTCGAAATCATCCCGAATACGTTACGTATAATTATGGCGATGAGTTAGATCTTGATGCAGTGCATTTTGCCATGCATCGCGATACTTATGTTATCATTCACGGTTTCTTGTCAAAAGGTACAGAAAATTGGGTGCGAAACATGAAAGATGCACTTTTAAAATATGTGAGTTTTTTTACTTAGATTAGCATGAAGAATATCATATATAAAAATCATCAATATCATATGTATTTTATTCCAGAATGACGCCAATGTAATAGTTGTCGATTGGGAAAAAGATAGTAATACATGGAACTATGCAGATGCTGTTGAACATGCAAAAGTCGTGGGTAAAGCTGTAGCCGAGTACGTACTCTATTCAGTAAATGCATTATTTGTGAATTTACAATATTTTCCAAATGTCAATGTCTTTGAAGATTTCTAGCCACGGTCAGACATCAAGCAGCAGTTGACAATAACGATACAATTCATGTGAAAGGAAAATTAACTATCATTGGGCACAGTTTAGGGGCTCACATCAGTGGCCGCGCTGCGCACCTATTGAAAAAGTTGCCGAAAACTTGGAGAGTATCAAGAATAGTAGGTTTGGATCCAGCACAACCTTGCTACAGATTGAAAAATCTGGAATATAGGCTTGACAAATCTCACGCCGATTACGTCGACATCATCCATACTAATGCGGCTCCCTTACAAAAAGCTGGATTAGGTTTACCCGAAGCAATTGGTAAGAATAAAAGCTAGACATACTTTTTTTGCGTAACAATTTTTATTGACTCTTTACTTCTAGGGCATGTTGATTTTTACCCTAATGGAGGAAGTTTCCAACCAGGATGTGTCCAAATGGCAACGAGTGAGTGAAGATTTGACATGACAAACAAAATATGATATTTTAAAATTTTGACCGTTTTTTAGTATTTGACGAGGCTAAATGCAGTCACGGGCGCTCTCACGAAATTTTCACTGCTTCGATATTAGCAGCAGTTGAAAAAACTTGCGAGTTCCAAGCTTACAAGTGGAACTTAAAAATTGATGATTTAGATAATGTAATTCAACAAAGAAACAGCCTCGACAAGGCGGCAATAATGGGTATTAAATCGACTGAAAATCCTCCGAGCGTAGTTGGAACATATTTTGTTCCGACAGGCTCTGAACCTCCATATTGTAGTAAGTATAAACAAATTGATTTTAGAAATATTACATAAGATTTGCTAAATTATTCCTTTTTCAGATGTAGGCAATAAACAAATGGCAGAGATTATAGACGAAATTAAGTCTGGTGTACTAGAATAAACGATAACGATTCAAGTGTCCTTTAGATATTTATCTTCATTCTTAAGTAATGATAAACTTGTAATAAAAATGTCTTTTTTTTTTACTATTAAATTTGTATTCTTTCTTTTTTAATTTGAATTATCTTGGTCATAAAATATTCAATTTTAATAGTTTCATGTTTAATAATGAAGCAATGTTTAACGAGATCATAAATGTTTATCATTATAAGCCATTATTATTTAAATATTTTTGAGCAAAATAAGAGAAAAAAACTTGTCTAGGGCATTATCGATCAAAATTTGCGCATAATACGCTTGAAAGCAGGCGGTGACATGGCTCAGGCATGGTGGCAACGCAGCGTCTGCGTCACTATTATATCCTCGCTGGCTCTGCGCTGCTCGCAAGTATCTCAGGTTTCTGCAATAATTTATTTGCCAAAGCACGCGCGCACACGTATAGCCCGCGCTTACACGCCTGGGATAAAAGCCCGTCGTTGCGCGAGAGAGCACATTGTAAGAAGGAGTTTACAGAGGGGGTGGGAGGGGGTGTCATTTGGGGGATGACACGGTGTGTAATTTCATATAGGTGCGGCGCTCGGTGTATGTGCTCGCGTATTCGCCTGCATTGCACATCTAGCCAGCACGTCATTTTAGAAAGGTGTATACGAGTGTGCCCAGGTCTTGCGGATTCGGTTTCCTCGCACGCGAGAACGCATTTGATTTGTTCCGTAAATGGAGTAGTGGCCGATGCAGTGGCTTTTGCGTGCTTTTTGAGGCTATTTTCCCTCTTTCCAAAGCCGCTTATGTGTTATTTCAGAGAAAAAATAATCTCCCTTTGAATCGTGAAAACGGAGAAAATTGAAGCTCATTCCAAATTCATGTTGATACATCATAATTTATATGCTTTCGAACATTTTTCGAAAGCAACGGAAATTAAATTATGTTAATCCTCTTATAAGAGTTTTACAAATTACTTACACGCGTACCTGTTTTAGGGCACGAGCATAAGTATTGAGTTTGTTTATTCAGACCGGGAAATCGCATCATCGAAAGCTTATGGCTTGAAACAGTACGGAGCTTGCAGGTACATTTTGTCCGTCAAAATTTCGAGGGCTTTTTGGCTCACATTATGTACACATACAGATAGCGGTGTAAGAAGTATAATAAAAGGTTGAGAAGCGCATGAACTTGTACTCGCGTGCCAGCCTAATTGTCTTTATAAAGAAGAGGGGACGTGAAACCCAGTCATGAAGGCGCAAGAATCATACGATAAGTGAGAAAATCTGTTATCACGATTGAGGCATAATTTGAAGCTTTGAACGCTTAGGGCTGGGCGTGCTATGGTAATTCGCGATTTCGTGGATAAGAGCCGCCTTTACGTGTATAATTACGATTCGCGCGATGGCTTTGCTAGTTGCAAAAATTAAATTTCGCGTCATTTGCGCTGTACTCACGTATTATTTATGCAAAGCTTGGTCATGTAGACGGGGAAGGGGAAAGGGTAATTATTAACAAATCACGCCGGGCTATTGACCAATATCTATGCGTGGAATGTACTCTTCTCGGAATATATATGGATTGCCGTGATAACCATGTTTATTCAATGAGTAATTTCAAGGGTCGCAATGTTTGCTTTGGCTCTATAGCTCGAAGTTCTTTGAAGTTGAATTTTTATTTTATGAAAATTTGATAGCGACCAGTTTTAAATATAATGCGATTGGGGTGAAAAATCGAGGTAATTGGATTAAATCCATCAAGGTTGCTTTATACGCAGACGGACACGTCGCTCCGCCAATTGATCGTGACTTGGAATTCTTTTCGTTTTTTCACATGCCAAGAATAGAATAATACATTCACATTTGCAGTTGCTAAAGTTTCGAGTTACGACTGCACGAGGAAATATCGAGTAAAAAAAATGTTGAAAAAATAAACAAAAAAATTAAAATAAATTAATACGCACTCAATTCAAAATAAATCATAATCGAGAGGGCAGTCTAGCTTTGCGCTTTGGCATCGCAAAATATGTGTATGCTTACGGATTGTATTGCAAATATACTCGTGGATTTATATCGACAAAGCAAACGCACGCGCGGATATAATAGAACACGGCAGATATCACTAGCTGCGCGCGTCAAGAGAAAGCCGCACAATGGCTTCAACGAACGTGTACACGCCGCATGTGTTTTACCATTAAAGCGAGATTTGCTAGAAGAGATCAGCGCGGAAGCTGCAACGTAAACGCGAACAAATAAATCTCTCCCGGGCTCGAGCTCCTCTCCTCTATATTGGACTCGAGGAAAATACTTGACATTTTTGATGTAGTAAAAGCTCGCAGGCACAATTTGCGAAAGTTTGAAAAAATGTTGAGCCGATGTCAAAATAATATTACGAATTGGAGTCGGCGAGCGAGAGATAGAGAGAGATTCCGATGTAAACAACATCTCGCTGGCGGGATAAAAATAACCGGGGAAAAATATAAAGCTACAAACGAGTCGATGTTAGTCGGGTCGCTCTTGCTCGTGCAGCGTACTCTACACGTACGCTTCCGTAGTTTACACCGCTGCGCGTTAAATGCATATAATCGCTTTGAAATGCGTTGCATGTGCAAGCTCTCGTTTGCTCGCGCAACCGTTGCTGCTCTGCACGCGCGGCATACGCGATAAGCAAAGCGTTACGGGGTACCAAGCTGAAAATTATAGCGCACATATTCCTCTGCTTATATATGTATGTAGGATAGGTTCGGATCGCGATCGAATTCGCGTTTATATATGGACCTTGGAGCGTTTAGAGAGAATGGCTTAAAGCCTCTCTCGGCGCACAGAGCGAGAGTCATTCCACCTGACCAATTTACGCGAGAGTTACATATATAATGCGGTAACGGTCGTATACGCGTCGCGCCCTCTCTCTCTCTCTCTCTCTCTCTCTAGCGGTGAGTTGAACTAAACGTGTCTGCTTGTGCTCCGGTTATTTTTCGACTTTCTGCCTAAGTTTTTTGCCTACGGGCGCATATTTTTTCAGACTATACTTGCACGCTACCCTCTGCAAGGCCGTGCCGCATTATCTCTGCTGCACTGCTCTTGCATCTGCTTTTCTTCTCATAAACAAGTCGGGCTTTCTCCAAACTGAGGTTAGTTTCTCTGCTCTGCTGATCGACGCCGCTTGCGCAGGATCATAACCGCCAATTTGCCGATCTGCGCAACTCTCGCTCCGACTCTCTGCTGCGTCCCACTGTTCATGACTTCAGGGTGAAAGAGGAGCTGAGCGTTTGAGCCGTGCAACGAGTTGATCTTCGGAGTTGTCGACGCGCTGCCTTCGTCGATGTTTGCTGACCCTGTTTCCGCCTTCTCGTGCACCGTCTGCTCCGAAGTGTGATCTTTACTGGTGCTCTTCAGTGATTGTGTCTGCCACCGGTGTAAATTTCTCTTGATTCTGCTCTCTTCTCATCTAATCAATCAACTCATCAATCTCATTTCATCTTATCTTCGTCTCTCATCACTCATGCCAATCTATTCCACTATGATTTCTTGTGCCATTGCCATCTGTTATTCGGTAAAGTGTGCCCTCAGGTGATGCCAAAGTGTATTCGCTGCAGTCACGATATCACCGGCGACTACTTACGCTGCAACGCCTGCCAGTCTGTCTCCCATACCGTCTGCCCAGGTCGTGTCCTTCGAAGCTCTAGAATCAAGCCCTGCTGTACTCGTGCTTTCACCACTGACGACTCCACTCCTGTCCGAGTTGGCTTACCGACCAGGACCTCAAGTGTTAGCTCTCGTGCTGCTCGATTCGACAGCACTCGTGGAGTACCTCCGGACCGTAGCTCGTCTCTCCCCGATCTGTCCAATTTTTTCGACGCATCTATGCCGCCTAAGGTAGCCTCTGGGTCGACTGCCCCCCCATGGTTTTCGGAGTTCCGACTCTACCTTGGTGATGAGCTAAATGGCCTGAAGTCGCAGCTCAGCAGCATCAGCGAGCGCTTGGACAGGCAAGAGGCCGCTATCACCCAAAATTCCGCCGACATAGCCGCGATTCGCGACGAAGTCGGCTCTCTGAGAAAGGATCCCCGCCTGGTAGACTCCTGCGAGATGCTTGTGACCGGCTTACCCGCCGACCTGAATCTCTCGAACGATCAGATTCTGGTCAAGATTTTTGAAGCCCTAGATCTTGATGGCTACTCACGCTTCGTTGCTCGCACGAGAGACTGGCAGCCCAAGCCCAAGAATTGCACCCGTGATGACAACGCGGATGCCCCTCGCACTAAGGCCTTTGTCTTCAAATGCTCATCGCCTACTATACGCGATGATGTCATCTTCCACTCTGGCAGGCTCTCAGGCAAGGACCACCAATCGCTGTTCGGCATGGGTGGCTCAGGCAGGGTCATGCTTCGACCACTGTGGCCTACCCCCGTTCACCGCCTTCTGTCTCAGGCCCGCGAGGCAGCGGTCAAGCTCAATTACGCGCGACCGTTGGTGCGTGACTTGGTCGTCTGCATGAGGGAGACGAGTGGCTCAACTCTTGTACCTGTCTACAGTGCTGATGACTTGAAGGCCCTCAAGTCAAGGCCACAATGACGGTCACTCAAACCCTCTACTCGCCTGCCCACCACCCACCCTCTGGTACGTGACAATTTTCTTTCTGTCGCCCACGCAAATGTCAATCGCCTCGAATATCACTTCGCGCTGGTCGAGGATCGCATCACTAGCTTCAACTACGATATCTTCGCAATTTCAGAGACTTTCCTCGTGCCTGATGCCCCCGACTCAGTGTTTCAACTTGACGGCTACAACTTTTTCCACAACGACAGATCTGAGAGGGGTGGTGGCGGTGTAGCGGCCTATGTCCGCGACTGCTTTCGAGTCAAAACTCTGGCCGCCTCAAGTCCAAAGTACGACAATACTCCGGAGTTTTTGATTCTCGACCTATCTTACAAATCGACGAATCTTTTGCTCGCTGCAGTCTATATGAGACCCCACTGTACTCAAGTCAACTCTTTCTTTGATACCTTGGCAGTATTCCTACCAAAGTATACCAATGTAATTNGCTAAAACTAAAGTGATGATTTTGGGCAGCAAATACTTCACAGACCTACTCGACGTAACCACAGTCACAAAAGTTCAAATTCACGGCACTGAACTCCCATACTCGTCCGAGGTCAAGTCTCTCGGTGTTTGGTTGCACCCGAATCTCGACTGGGGGAACCACGTAAACAAAGTAGCCCGACGTATCCAAGGCGCCCTCTTTTCACTTCGTCAATGCCGCCGTGCCCTATCACCTCCCATTCGTAAGGATCTGGTGGAATCACTAGTGTTCCCGCACCTTGACTACGCGTGTGTAGTCTATAATGACTTATTTGACTACCAAAATCTACAACTGCAACGGGCACTCAACGCATGTGTGCGTTTTGTCGTGGGTACCATTGGTTGGCGCGACCATGTCACGCCACACAGGCTACAACTTGGCTGGCTGTCGGTATCAGACCGCAGACAGTATTTCACTGCAATCACTGCCTACTCCATCATTGCCCACCAGAATCCACCCTACTTATCTTCTCGTTTCGCTCTTCCATCACAGGCCCTCATCGATCGTTCATCATCGCGACTACCACAAAGATCTATTGTTGGTCATTCAGTACGCACTGGCGCTCACCAGTCGTCCTTCGTCTACACAGCCACGGACCTACTAAATAAGTTCTTCACGACCCGCTTATTATTCTGCCCATCACGCATCTCTCACATCAAAAACATCATTTTCACTAAATTGATTGGGGATGAGAGGAGAGTAGCTAGTCACTAGGACTTTGCGCCCTGGCATAAATCATGTCTTGATTGCTTAAATCTTACTGCTACCAAACAACGTTCTGTTCACTATTTTTGTTCTACTTACTTACTGCTTACTTTTACTGCTTACTGCTTACTGCTTACTTTTGTAATTACTTTACCTTACTCTTGTCTACATTTATGTAACGCTTATACCTTTAGTTACCCTGAGGTATAAGCCTGTGTGCCATACGGGAAACCATGGCCCAATAAATATTCTAATCTAATCTAATCTCTCTCTCTCTCTCTCTCTCTCTCTATATATACCCTCGCGCAAAGGGCTATTAGATAAGGACGCGCGCCTCGGGTACTATTGCTCTTTCGCGTCGTCGTATATGGATCGCACAAAATCCGAGCCAATAGCCACATTCGCCCGCCCCCCGCGGCTACGTTTTTACGAGTGGTGCGCCTGCAAGCTCCGTCTACCTATATACCTGTATATAGTATTCGTCGATTATCGTATCGACGTTTGCTTGTGTACATGCACTTTTATTATTTTCCATTTTAAAATGCGGCTACTTTACATGTTTATCTTCAACAGAGAGTCGAGTTTTTATTTTTTTCTTATGAAAACAAACTGCCAATCGATTTTTATGATGTATCTTTAGAGAAAAACAGACACAATTGCAACTTCACTAGTATAAACAAACAGGTAATTTGAAACATCGGCGCGTTTGCAACCAAGCAACTGCCATGCCAAGAGCATTTAAAGTCAATTGTCGCCCAACGCAAAAGCAAATGAGCGCCTCGGCTAAATACGCACGTGCCGGAGCATTACTTGGCTCTTTATCTCTCTTGGTTTTAAGGCATCGATGCCACCTAACACTTGTGTGAGTATTTGCTCGTTGCACTTGCTGTGTGGGCACGCAGTGTGTGTGTCTGTGTGTGTGTGGCATAGTACTAGTAGCAACAGCAGCGCAGCAGCAGTTTGAGCCGAGACGAACGCCGTGTGCGCGAGCTAACTTTGCCAGTAAATTGAACATTCTCGCCGCAACTCGTGCCAGAGCCTGATTCCTCGTGGGAGCGACGTTACTACTAGTAGTCTCTGACTGATGAATCTTGAGGCTGTTATCGCGTTTCGGGAATAAGAAATACTGAATTATGCTAAACTCATGTATATATAATACGTCTGCTCAACTCGTCCGTGAATACTGACTGATGGTTTTCTCCAACAGATCTATTGTACAACCTGATGCATATGACTTGCTCCATTGTTAAATATTTTTAGAAGAACAAAATAGAAAAAATCTCAGTATATTCGCACATAAATGGACAAAAGCATTTCTTTTCGGGCAAAACCCTTGAACCTCATGCTACGATAAGGTCAAGGCTATTTTTCTTGGCATCCAAGTCGAGCGCCAGCGATTACCTCAACGATTAGCTGAAAAGAAAAAAATGTACGCACGCTCAAGCTCTTTCGTCTATCGTACTCGTGAAAGTGTACAACTGTAAGCGCACCAGCAAGATAAATTTACCAATTTCGCCCTACTCAATAGAATACTCGCAGAACGAAGAAAACATTTTTTATCTTTTCTAAATATCTTGATGGATTAAAGAGAAATTTTTATCCGTCAATTTGATATATAGAGGTAAGCATGGACGCATTACAAGGTGTTTTTTCTTTAGAAATTGCAATCCGTACATTTTTTTGTCGATTTGTGAAAATTCTCTCGAATGCGCTGGAAATTTGAGAATCCTGAGATCGAATTACTTTCCCCTCTTTCGATGCCATTTTTCTTTTTTAATAAATTACAGTATCTCAATTGAAGTTGATTGTAACAATTTAATTTATTCACGATTTTAAAAGCATAATTCATCGTCACCATAATACATAACGGAAAAATATTTCATGCGAAATGCCGTGGTGCGATATATATTTCTAAAACTCGCCTTGTCACGAAACTTTTCTAACTTAATATTCACCTTTACTGGTTGATAAATATATATACAGGCATACGCGTATTTATACGTGCGAGGGTGCAAGTCGTAAAAGAAGAAGCACGTCAAAATTAGCTAGACGCAAAAGACAACTTCAGCCGTATATATGCCGTATAGAAGGTGGCAGACTGAACCTGGCTGGGTAAGGAACTTAGTCGCTCCGTTTGAAAGTGGGCGAGAGTTTCCTTTTTCTTTATCTTTACACGGGTTTTTCGCCAAGCGGAAATCTACTCCTGACGCTGCTCCGCTGCTTACGCGCGTGAAAAGTGGCCACGGAAAGTTCTTTTAATTTCTCTCTCTTTCTCTCTCGCTCTCTCCTTCTCTTCTGAGCGCATTGCCTTGACAAGAAAGAGCGAGAGAGCAAGAGCAGAGAACGAGAGTTTGACTTGCAGAGTGCTAATATTAAAGTCACGCCACGCCCCGTTAAAAGCTTTGAACGGGAAATTTTTACTTGCAACTTGGTCCTCGCACTCTCTCGTTCGCCGCTGTGGCTTTTATATCGAGGGATGATGATGGCTTATATATAATAAATATTATATATCTCGAAGCCCACAGGATTATTTTGCCGACGCACACGCACACACATATATATTTGTACGCGTATATGCGCGGACTCACGAAACGAGGAAAGTTTGCTTTTGACTTTTGATGATCTGATTGCAAAGGTTAGTTCGCGCACGGATTGTTATGACCATTGTTTCATCGGCCGTGCGCTGCCAGCGCCGCTGCGCTCTTGCTAGAGCTAAGCGCTAATTAGGAAAGTCATTAACTTTCCTGAATACCCTGGCATGCGCGTATATGTTTACCCGTACACAAACTTTCCAGTCCGACTCGTTGAATCGTGCATGTGCCATATGCTGTTGCTGCTTCTGCAGCTGCTACTGATGCTTCTGTTGCTGTTGCTCACCCAACCACCTACATAGCCACACTCATAAATACATAGCGAACATGTATTGTTGAATTAACGATCAGCTTGGCCGAATAGTTATACCTCGAACTTTAACTAGCTGTGTTAAACTGAACAGAACATACAGTGAACAGAACTGCTGCTGCTACTACTACTACTACAACTACTAATGTTACTATAAAAAACGTTCTTTGTAAAAGCCAAATTACGAGTACGAATCCGAGCGTGAGATACTTTGTATAGTTTTACTGCGAGGAATGCAAACGAGATTAGGATTATTAAACATTACAATTTTCTCAGTTTTCAATTGATCGTTAAAACTTTTTCTTAATTTTCAAGTGCGCGAACGTTATAAGCAAAGTGTAACAATTGAACAGTTGAGCAGATTTAAGAAAAAATTCACTACAACTCTTGATAAAAAAGTCTGCAGACTTCCTTTATGAACTTACTTTTTTTACTCACTCACTGCCTCCTGTATATCGTACTTTCCATAGGTCTTTTTATAAATTGAAGCTGCAGGTAAGTTTCGGGGAAAATTTTTACGAAACTCGTTATGCGCAGTCTTAAGCTTCACATACAAATAATGTTTAAGAAAACAATTTATTTGAGCAGTCGTTTTTAGCCGACTGAGCTTGCGTGTTACAAAAACTTTCTCGCCTGATAAGATGAATAAATTTTGAAGTTTGCACGCGACTGCGCGATTGAAGCTGAAGTTTCTTTTTTACTTAGTCAGCGCAACTTTTATTTTTGCACTTTTTCACTCGATAATCCAATTCTTAGTATTATGTCATCATTAAAAGATAGCAAAAACTCGCATAAATTAAATCTTTTTTTCTATTTTATAACAAATTTTTAAACGCCTCACAATTAAATTTTCATACGATTCATCGGATCAAAATGTTTTCAAAGAAACGATTGATTTTTTATCGTGAGCTTTTTGTCCATGTGAACAATTTAAGATAGCAAAAAAAGCTTTTACCTAATGTTCGTATTTCTACGATTTTCGTTTGCATTTCGCATATGCATATATGAGAAGAACTCGTGGATAATCGTCAGAGTACTTTTTCTAAAAGCTTGATTTACTTGATAGTCTTAACTTCGCTGGTAAGCATTTTTTTTATCAACGCATTCTACAACTCCCTTTTAAATCTCTCGATGACATCGCAGGTATTATGTTTTTTTCATAAGCTTAAATTTTTTCCGTCCGGCTGAACATCTTAATTCGCTGCATAAAAGTAATTCGGTTCTCGCAAATCATGAGATCAGGTAAGGAGACGGGAAAAACGAAAAATATATGCATGCAACTTGACAAGAAGTAATTTATACGCGACTCGAGCAGTGTATGAGTATATACTTTCGGGATATTTTAATACTCGAAATGCAAAAAAGTACTTCGTGCGCATAATAATAAACCTACGGGTTAAGAGTAAGAAAAATATAGAGAAAAAATGCGAGTAGAACTTGAATAAAAATTTACATACCGTGACGTTGCGTTCTGACTTGGAGGCTTCCCTCGCTCTGGATGAAGTTCTTGCCATTGGTGGCGCGGCAAGAGTAAAAGCCTCGATCGTTCACATCAACCCGGGTAATTTTTAAACGGCTCCCAGCTATATTCTTGGCCACGTGCTCGTGATTCTGAAAAAAAAAAAATTATTTGTACCTCAACGTTTACATTTTTGCTACACAAGCAAGCTTAACTATATCGTTGACAAAATTACCTGAGGATTAATTTTCTTAATGATCACGCGTTCGGGCTCCTCGATAATTGGCTTTTCATTTTTGTACCATCTAATTTTGTTCGGTGGTGGATCACCTACAATCTCGCATCTCATGTGCACGACACTGCCAATGTCTTTGGTCAGGTTTGAGAGTGCTCGAATGAACTTGAGCGAGCCCTCTTTGGCACTCGTTGGCTCGACTATCACGTCCGTACTGGAACAAAAACCACAAACGAAGGTGAGTCTCCTATCATTTTATTCATTTTCTCTATAAAAATTACTATTGCGTTCGTTCAAGTTGGCCGGATTAAATCCACCTGCTCTTTCTTATACGCACTTTGGATGCCAAGCGGCGTAAATGGAAATAATGGCGTCCACTTAGCGAGTGTAAAATATGCAAGAAGTACGTGTTCGGGCTCCCTTTGCGTAATATACGTTAGAAAATCCCCAGAGTACGTAGTCGAGAAGTCAGCGGAAAGACAGCGACTCTGCGTCACTGCGTTCGTGTGCGTACATATACGTAGGTGGCTGCTGAATGTAAAAAGGTACGCGCGTAAGCGGGGAATATGCCACCGCCGCCGCACAACGACCCAAAGTCAAATCACGTGTGCTTAAACACACCGATGAAAGGAAAACAGGATTCGTGCTACTTCACCAGGGGTGCAGGATTATAAGCTTCTTGTCTTTGAAGATCACGTCAGACCGTCTCTTTTCGTTCTTTCTTTGTCGGATATGATGTGGATTATAAGCAAGTCTGCCATGATTATTTTTCAAAGTATTTCCAAGAAGACAAGGCTCTACCTTGCGGATGTGTGATTATATAACAGCCGACGGCTTTTTGAAACTATTTTTTAATACAAACTGACAAGCTAAAACCGCAGGGCCAACCTAACCATTTTTCAGATCATCTTGTAATTTTGATATACGAGTGTACGAGCTAGGATGTTATTCGAAGAGGCAACATCCTTTATCATCGTTATTGCTCAAGCGGAGTTCGACCAAAAAATGATACAGGTGAAAACTCTTAATCAAGTTTCGTCTCACACACATACAGTGCCCAAGCATTAAGCAAACTTGGCAGCCGAGTAAGGGGTGCGCAGTAAATACCGCGCTCGAAACAATGAAAGCTCGAGTTTGCCCAGGCGTGTACGTGTGTATATGTAGCACACATCAGTAGCACGCACGCGAGCAATCATCGAGTTTACACTGTCGCGCTTTCGTAACTGATGTGCTGTTGCAACCTATACATAGAGCGGGAGAGGGACTCCATAGACGCTGTAAGGGGTAAAGGCAAAAGCAGACCCTAACTCAGTACCTCATGGTCCCTCTCGCAGAGGCAATGACCAGCGACATAATGGTGTCCTGCGCGTAAGAGATAGCGTGCAAAGTGTGGGCGTGAGCTTGTACATTAGGTCTAGTTATATAGCTATATAGTTAGGCTATAATATGAGTACTTACGCTCGCGGAGAATGATAAAACGTAGACACCTTGGGTTACTTGGCTTGATACGCTCGAGTCACGATTCGGATGCGATAGCTCTCGAAATGTCTACACTCTAGCTTTTATGGTCTCGAGTACTCGACTCGGACGTCGGTGCACAAACATCACAATACCGTCTGGTTTGGCGTAGGATCGATATTTCTCTATTTACGTTTGCCACGTTAAAAATTGATTATCATTCCGTTATTAATTGCACAGCGTCGAAACATTATTAAAATCACGCGAGCATTAATTAAAAATGGAATCAATGTGCGATGCTGTGTACGAATAATAAATAAACATCGCTAATTAACATTTTGTTGAAGTAACCAACTGGCGCTGTGCGATATGTGTACTGAATATAATGTGAGGATAGCCGATGCTTGATATACCTTCTCATCTGTGTACATGCATACACAAATTTCCATATATGAGATTTACCCAGCGTTAAATGAATTCGACCGACTCTGATCCTGGGCAAATTTCAATCTTACTCGATTGCGTAATGCAGTGCATGTACGGGGTGTTTGTCGGAGTATAGTATCTATGGTGACGCAGTGCTTGCGCGCATATATTAGAACGCGGTCGCACGTTCGACTGGTCCTCCCTACGAACGTATTACGAGGCCGCTCGAGTGGATATGTACGACCGAGATATGAGCGTGTCTGCTGCTGTTTGAGGGCATTATGACATTATGTCGAAGGATCGTTTCTGAAGCTGTCGCTTGCGCTACAATTACAGCCCATTTAAAATGTATTATGGAAAATCTTTAAATGGATCAGATTGGTACAATCACATCGAGCTCTCCGATCGTGTTGAAATATTGAAGATCATTTCTCTGATATTGGTGCTAATTCTCACAAGTTTTGCAAAATATCGTAATAACTGAAATGAAAGTAGCACATTATCAAGTATTAAGCCTTTGCAATTATGCAGCTGCAAATCGACTCCTTATAGATGACTATGTTTGTATACTTGTGCGCATCTAATCTACGCGCACAGAGTGATGGAAAGAGAGAGAGAGAGAGAGAGAGAGAGAGAGAGAGAGAGAGAGGCAAGAGCAACGCATAATTATGCATTGGCGTATATCGAGCGCAGAGTGAGGGGTATAATTTATCAAATGCAAATTGAAGAGGACTGGAATGTGCGGGGTTGAAATTTTCACTCGCGACTTTTTTTTGTTTTTCATTTTCGATGCGGCCGCGTGGGGTTGCTTCGTTAGGCGCTTGTTGTACGATATCGGGACTATGAATAATTTATCGACCCGGCTATTCTACGGTGATATTATTGAAGCTCCGAGTGACGAAACGAGCCACAGAAAGGGTAAAAAAGCCAAGCGTAGGAGATATTTGTGGATCTCTTGGTATTAATTAATGCTTCACGGTGCGTGTGTAATTTTCATTGATTTCTCTTCATGAATATACTTACGAGAAGCAATTCAAATCTATACAAAAAAATTATTATCGTTATGACTTTTTTTCAATATTCATGTATGACTATAGCCTATAGTAATTTGAGATGATTCAATTTTTTAATTGCATTTATTTGATAAATATTCAAACTGTTTTTAACAAACGAAAAAACTTACTGAATATTTTGTATTCTTTGATAATGTAATATTTGTTGACACTTCACCTCTGAGATAATGACTGAACGGAAATTGAATATTCTCTTTTCTCTTTATATTATCTTTAGGGGTTTCAGTTAAAAATTATCAACTTTGAGAAGCATATTTTACAACGCCCTTAAAATCTTAGATTGAACTCTAATATCAATCAAATATTGAGATCGTCGCTTGAATCACACCAAATTTACTATAAATTTTAATATTATAATTATCCAATATCTTTGAAATTTTTATTAATTTTGCTGAGGAAATTATGAAATAACAAAGCTTTGTTTACTTTGTTCTTTTTTTTCGTTCAAGTAAATGAGATAATTTTAAGAGATAACGATTTAATTTATTTCGTAAAAAGAAAAAATAAGTACTAATTTTTAATTTATTTATAATTTTACAACATTAACAATTTTTTTATTTCTTTTAATCAACGTATTTCCAATCAAACATTTTTTCATATTTCGATGCTATACAAGATCAAAAGTTGTAAAACAGACATGTAATGATTTTCAGACGATCCTTTTTATTGTGGCAAGCCATCGATGTTAATAGAATTGGCGACTGCTCTACTCGAGGCATTAGCTATGCTGGGCCCGTCTCCTGTTCCAACCGCGACAGCTTTGGACTTGACGTTGCTGATGGAATTGGACACTTGAGGTCCACCGGTGCCAACGCTGACTACTTTAGAATTGGAAAGACCGTCAGCCTTGGCGTTGGCAATATTGGCGCCGTCGCCCACATTGAGCGCATTGGCATTAGCTTCCTCATTGGTAATGGCATTGACAGCTTGGACACCCTTGCCGATACCGATGGCTTCGGAGTTAGTTTGGCCCTTGGAGATGGCATCGGCTATGTTGGTAACTTGTCCAACACCGATGGCGTTGGCCGTGGATTTGCCTACGGTGGCACCGATCACGGTGTTCGAGCCCCTACCTACTCCGGCTGCGTTGGCATTGGTTTTACCGTTGCTTCTGGATCTTGCAACGTTCACGCCTTCACCTATGCCAATGGCATTGGCCGTGGCTTTGTCCGAGGTTATCCCAATAGGCACTTGATGGACGCCCCGGCCGACGCCGGCCGCGTTGGCGAGATTTCTGCCCTTGGATCGAGCATCGGCCACGTTTGCGCCTCTGCCGATACCAACGGCATTGGCAAGGGCTTTATTGTCCGAGTTGGATAGAGCCAGCTGAACGCCTCTGCCTACTCCGATTGTGTTGGAGTTGGATTTGCCATCGGCATTGGCTGCGGCTAAATTTACACCCTCGCCAACGTTTATTTTGCTAGCCTTCGAAGTGACAACAGAGTTGGCAACTCCATTGCTTGCTAAAAATCGAAATAATTTTTTTCGTTAATTGTTAAAGCCCTCAGAGAATCGTTATCTAGTGTTGAGAAATCACTCACCAGGGGCTGCCAAAGCAACGCCCACGACAGTCAAAAATACACCGATGGCTATCTTCATGTTCACTTGACGATTGAATAAAGGATGTGGCTAACTTGAGTCCGTGCCTTTTTATATATGTACTAATTATCTCTAGCAACGAGTGCTGAACAAATAAGCCAATCGGATTGAAAATATAAGTGTAAAAACTTTTGTTCCTTTCATAATGCTGATAATTCTTTGGCAGTTTTTGTCATTTACGTAATCTTCAGTAACACCTCTCAGATAATAAAATTTTCAAAAAATTGCTCATCATCTTCTACATAAAGAACTTTTTTATACGATATAAAATTATCGGACTGCGAGAGAAAATGAAAATATGTATGTAATTATGCGTAATTATAATTCGATCTCGCGTACGCGCTAAGCATAACAGGTGAAAGAAAAACGGTTAGTATTGCTAATTGAATTTTTCTCTTTTCATAAACCTTTTCGATGATTTACTATGACAGTTTTAATAAAATTAAGTTCCGCCTATCAATGCCCTTGCATTCACAGAGTGAGGGGCATTCTGAAAACGTCACGTAGCGAAGAAAATTTCTCAACATGAACGCGCGGTCAAAGTAATGGAATAACAAAATCGAATGCCAAATGGTTTCTCTATTCGGTGAAGCTAGCAGCAGTAGCAGCACGTATTGGACTATATACTGTACGTGATTGATCAAAATTTCATTGGCGTTGCTGCTGTATGGCGTGCTGCAGAAATGCAATCGATTTAGCCTTATGTACTCATACACGCGCACACATGCATTATATCAGCAACTGAACTTCGATGAAAAATATTTTTTATTATCCCGAGCTATTAATAGATAAAGCTCATGTATAGAGCAAGAGAGAATGAATTGCTATTGTGTACGGCGCGGCGTCCAAAGCGTACGTGTCTGTACAGAAATGCGACAGAGAAATTGAATTATTCTAGGCTTGGCAATTGTATTTCCTATAACGTTGCCTTGAATTTTCAATCAGTTCGTATACTTTACCTCAGAAATTAGGCACACCTAAAACCATGTTATAATATTTTCTACAATTGTTTAATAACTTTCACCTGGAATCAGGTTATTTTTACTATTAAATAATATTTATTCGAATAAAGAAAATTATCATAAGAATGAGAAAGAAAATATCACTAAGTAAGACGTTGACTCGTTGAGGTTTAGGCACGTCAAAGAATATAGGGAAAATAGTCGTTCGACTGCAACTAAGGGTGCTAGCCAATTCTGTCTTGCGTGACTAGGTCCTATTAATCAGAAATGTTGAGCTTGGCGTACTACAGAGAAAGCCAAAATTAGATAGTTCACTTGATTTGCTTAATTGGTTTCAAGGATCACCTTGACTGAGTTTCAATTATGGCCTGTCCATAATGTTAAAACTATTGAAAATTCATATTAAGCACGAGTATGTAAGTACACAGGCAGAACTCCAATTTACGAGAATTGATTTTCTTCGTCAGAGTCTCGATGAGTATTAGCAAGTGAATGAACGATTATACAAATACAAATTCATAGTAACAATGATCAATTGCGTCCATCTTGCGAGTACCTTGTCAGAGGATAATCCTGTCGAGATAGCTCGTTATTCAAAGACTATGCAAGTAACATTCAGAGATCAATATATCCTCGTATAATTGTCCATGGCTCTCAAGTCTTTGATATAGATATAGATACACATTGTATGTGTAAAGTATATTAAGCTTACGACAGGGAACACGAGTATTAATTTCCAAAGAACAAGACAATAGCAATAATCAACGTTACTACTCCGACGACGTATGAATGTATCCCCTTTGACACTGATCACTCAAGTTCATCGCTCTCATTCACTGATGTATACGTGTATTCACGCAGGCGAAGCTCGCAGTCCCTCGTCGTCGTTGTCGTCTTCGTCGACGTTAGGATTAGTGGAAGTCATACGAAAGTGAGAAGCTTAGCCTATAAATAATGCATGCCAAGCAACGATGAAGTAGTAGTGCGATTAAAGCGCGAGAAGGATTAGCGATCGGCAGAAAAAAGGACTTGTGTATGAATGAGGGCTTTAAGCATCTTTCAGATGAAATTATTATATTGAACATCTTACAAGTTAACGTGAAAAGCGATTGAAGAAAAATCGAAGGTGTTGTAAATCCGAGGGATAAAGTACTTTTTTCGATATCGACGGCTACCCATGGCGTCAACCTGCGATTTCAAACCAACGAAATTCATGAATTCGTGCTCTCCTCGCATTCTGATTAGCTCGCGTATTCGCACAAACGGATTACTCGAAAAAGCTTCTCGATTGATGAATAAAAATTGTTTTTAAAACTTGCCAATACAATCACAAAAGCGAATCGCGCAAAGTGTAGCCGAACGGCTTAAAGTTCAAGCGCACGAATATCGCAAGGAAAATATTGACCTAAAAGATAAGGTTTATGCACGGCTGCTAAACAATGAGTCTCGAGGTTTTCACGCTCGGAAAGAATATAAAAAACTTGGAAGAGCAAGAAACGTTGCCAAGATAAAATATTCATTTAGAGTGCGATGGCCCAAAAAGCGATATTACGCGTATGCTAAGAATTTAAACTCTACTCAAATCGGGTAAAAAAGGACCATAGCGACTGCTTCAGCATCAGCGAATGGCCCATTCTGTGCCTCTCTTTCTGACAGCACGAGCATACCTTGTCTGTGCTCTAAGAGAAATCTGATCGGCAAAGTGAGCGCCAAGGAAGTTCCGGACGTATGTATATGTATACGAACGGGGTTCGTAAGACTGTCTTAAATTTTCAGGAATTCGTAAAATGCGAAGTCGCAAAGATAAAACACGCGACTGAGTCGAGTTGCTTGCGATGTGTATAACTATATAGCTGGGTCACTCGAGCTATTTCAAGGGGCTGCGAGCAAGGTGGCGACGGCGGCGACGCGGACGTTGCGTCGATTCGATCGTGTAGCTACATCGAGCCAGCTAATATTCAATATATCCCCGTGAATCTGTGCCACCCTCCCGTCGACGCCTGTGTGAGTTCCGAGGGTAAACTAATTGTTCGCTGCCTTACGCTCAAGGAAATGAGAGGAAGAACTCGAGAGACATCGTCGTCGCGTCGAGCCGATCGATTCTCTCCGACCGAGTCGTTTATTTTTCAGCCTATTGCCTTATCTTGCTCGCCTTTTTATTCGTCTTTTTACGCGCTCGCTGTGCAGATACGAAAAAGTCAGACGCTGTTTTATTGAAATCATTGCTGGAGCGCAGAAAATGTATTTTTCATTCAATGTACAAATTTGTCGAGAGCCGCTACGAGGCAGAATCAGTAATATATCTAATCATATTTCGATGTCAATCGGTCTCATCGTTTCATTCTTGTACAAATTATTAAATATCAATATCTTGTGATATCTTTAGTCATTTTCTAATAGTAAGATGATAACATCTTAAGTGGGATGGGGGTATAGTTAATTTTTTATTATTTTCGCGTGATTTTGAGACCTTTTTCTAGATATCTGGTAAAAATAAGCTAATAAAGCTGAAGTACAGAGTAAAGAACAACAATTCAAGAGTTTACCATTAAATTTTCGTGGTAAAATACTAAATATTGGGCCTGTGGCGAGCATTTGAGGCTTACACCTAAAAAACACGATAACTTATGATAGGATTGTCAGAAATAAATAAACTGCAATTTTTTTAAAAGTTTGAATGATTCCCGAGGTAGTGAGACATTGAGTTTTTTAAATAATTTCCATTTTTAAAAATTTGGTGTCAATTTGAAGTCAAAAAATTGGAAAAAAATAGAAAAGTGTGTTTCTTTCAGAAAGTAATTGATAAAAATGAAATTTTTGAAAAAAAAGAAATTATAAAGAAGTGTGTAAAATTTCAGCACAATCGGTTCAATAGTTTTGAAGTTATGATGTACACTGACTCAAAAAATGGGATTGTACAGGAAACGTGTTTAAAGATTTTGATGCAAAAAAACGTGAATTTTATCGTATCTCCTTACTTCGTCTATACCAGGTCTATACAATCAAGGTACATCATCTAGGATATTTAAAGTATGATTTTGATGTTAAATTCGTAATGCTCGACATTTTTATATCAAAGCCACATATAGCTACCCAAAAGTAAAGAACACTAAACATGTGGTCGGGGCTAAAACACGAGTATATCACACTTGAATTAAGATGGGTATATCTCTGTCAATTTTGCTTGAATTAAGGTAAAACTTTAACACAATACTCTCTAAGGCCTAGAAAATCGAAAAAGACAATCACAAAAAATTTTTTAATTCGTCCGAAAAATACAATATCCCCTCCCCCTCTCAAAAGTTATAACGTACCCATTAGCCGTGGTAGAGTCAAAAACGTCATTATAATCTTCTTCCGCATAATCGTGAATATTAGGATCTAAATCTTCAACATCATCGACGCTGCTCGAAGTTGCTGTAACAAAAAAATTCAATCATTATTTAAATGTTTGACACAATCAGTAAAAATTATAATAACAGCTATATTGTATAATATCAGTGTTGATTATTTAGACGTTCACTACCGCAAAGTTTAAGTCGTAAATTTTATATTGTAAGCCTAAACAAGTCTGCAAATGATAGCTTAAACTCCCGTGGTACGTAAACGTTGAAAAATCCCGAGCAATAAATTAGGAAATCACGTTGGCATTAGTCCGCAAGCGCTCGCTCTTTAGATTGACTTAAAAAATCACCATGCAGTATTTTCAGGCCCGCGCATTTACAGCGGCAACGAAGTTTTGCGCTTGTACAGCAGTACAAGTATCCCAGCGGCAGAAAAGCAGCGAATTGAATAAAATTCAAATAAATCGTAGACTCTTTGTCATGGCAAAACATAAAAATAAAGAGAAGCTGCAATTCGAGCCGACGCATTAAAGAGTAACTTTCGTGCGTACATAGCTATTGATAGGGTGGTGGTAGGGAATGAAATGAAGCACTGGAGTTAATAAATAAATAACAAAAGTTGCTTTATTCCCTATCGCCTAGCAGTCCAACTAATACGCTTCGTCGCAAAAGTATCCGTCGCATACGACCCAACACCGTAAGCGGCCCAATCTCACGTGTCTCTCGTCTCTTCGGAGTCTGCGCTCGACACACACACCAACAAACACGCAGCGCGCTCGGCATCCCCTCTCCTCGCACACACACACACACACACACACACACACACACACACTACATGCTACACGGCGACAGACATACGCAAGCATGAGGTAGCGCGTCGTCGGCAGCGAACGCATACTTAACACTATATTTCTATATAGGTTCACGTACAGAGGTAGTACTTTTAGTAGCAATGTGCGTAATGAATTTTACATAAATGTACTGGAGCCAAATTATAACAGGCACAAACGAATTAAAATATTAGGTAAGCGGGCGTATTTGTTTATTTATAATATCAGTCTCAGCGTCAAAAAATATTAAGAAAGTTGAGAGCATTGTGTCAACTTTCCTCGGGAGCGTTGAAAGGGGAGTCAGTAGCTTTCATAACGCGGCAGAAGCATTTTCTATATAGCCACCTAGTGCCCTGAAAATTAATCACACTAGCGCGCGCCTGTACAGAATCCTTGGCTATTGTCTTGCAGACACGCATGCCCGTTCTCATTCGCGTGATAATCCGCGCTCCAAGAGGACCTTGAGGACTCTCTGATTTATATGTGTGCGCCATGCATAGAGAGGGCATATATATATAGATAGAGGGATTTGGTTGTAGCGCGAGCGTGTTTGCTCTCGTTAAATATGAGTTATAATGGCGTAATACCCGTGTGACATGCGCCTCTCTTATGATTACTCTCTGACAACCCTATATACCTTTATGACGAGGATGTCGCTGAGCTTTTGCTAGAAACGACGATGATTAAGCTTTTTCTACTGCGCTTTATCCGAAATGTGTTGGCTTGCTTTTGGAAAATGATAAAAATTTTTATTAATTCTCCATGCCCGTATATCGATGAATTTTTTAGCGAACAAAGTGTCATTCAAAGGATATGAGAAAAAATATCGCAGTACCCGAAAACCAATTCTACTATAAAACCGATGAAGTATGTCAATCTAGTTGGCACGAGCAAAAAATAAATATACAGTACAAGCATTGATATGAAGTCAGAATAGCGTTGAAAAATTCAACGTATCCCAAAGCATATAATACGTTTTTACGAACCTATTATTTTAATTTCTTTTCTTCGAAACTCTGATAAAATTGTTTAAAATATGTTTCTTCTGCCAAAAAATGTTCTCAAAAACTTGCGTTTTTACATATAAGTACTAAATCCATATCGAAAATCCAAGAACATTATGCTGTTTAATGCAGAGTAACGAGCTTTTGGGTACTTATAACACGTTTCATCCTCGATGAATAGGGAAAAAGAGGGAGAGAGTGAGAACTTTAATATCGTTCTTTTCACGCAGCGATAAAGAAAAAAGCGATCAAGTATAGATATATTTTCACTGGAGACTAAACTGCAAAGAAAAAAGCTTATAGGCGTTTGTAAAAGTAAAGTTGCCTAACCCGGATGAACTTTTTTTATTCGATCTATTTTTGCGCTCATGTAAGCTTCCAGAAAAGCCTTCGAAGCAAACGGTTGTGTTTCGTCGTTAATTTTAAAGATGAGAAAATTCACCTTTGGCTGATAATTCATTCAGAGTATTAATGCTACATTATACCGTGTACTTAAAGGAAAAATTTTGTTCAAAATGAAAGTATGGATGCTTCAAATAAACTAGTAACAAGTAAGTGGATAATTGTTTTGGTCAAACTTCTGTGCACTTTTGTCGAAGATACCACTAGACAACATACAGTCTGCTTCTTTTTCAATGAAATTTCATTTGTGTCTAACATATTTTCGTACACATCTGATTTTAGGATTTAGGAATCATATTGGTTTTCAATGATTAATGCTGAATAATAATCATTTTACGACAAAAAGTGAATGGTGTTGAGCATAAATAAAAGTCATTGTCGAAATTTGATTGATCAAAGTTAACTGAAGCTATCCTTATAAACCCTTTTAACAGTTTATTAATAATCATTCTCCATTTTTTACGTTCAAAATCAAAAAATTTAAAAAATCTTTTACAAAAATACTAAATGATCGAAGACAACAGTAATCGAAAATGATTGGCTGTTAACTAAATTCAATGTTCAAAAGTAATTAATGTCAATGTAGTATTTAACCATTATTTGATTTGCATCTATACATATCTTAATAAGTTTCATTATTCTGGAAATTAATATAGAGTTTAATTGAAATTACAAAGGTTCAATCAAGTAATAAGAGAGTGCTTAATTCACTATTTGTTCAATAACAGAGAGATCAATTAAATTATTTCATAATTCTACATAATGAACAACTTTCATAATGAACAATTATTAATCTTTTCGTTTGCAATGTTCACTAAGTCGAATTTTAATGAAACAAAATAACGATACATACTTAATTGAAACATTCGAACATTTATAAAAAATCAATTCGATAATTTAGTTTTGATGTAATAATTAAAAAAAAAAAATAAAAATTATAATGAAAAATTAGTGAGGTCCTACATTTACAGGATAATTTTATAAATTATACGAATGGCTGTAAAATAAAATACGCTTAATGATCGCATACAGATAAGGCAGTCGTGTAAATTCACGCACTCTTAATTCGAATTATTCCAAAATGCGAAATATATGCATGTTACAGTCGTACTCACATACGTTTATAAGCTCATAAATATCCTGCTACTATTAAATGTGCTTGTATACCACTGTATGCTGAGTTACTATACTATAGGATTAAAATGAAATTTCGAATGCGAGAGAAATATCACGGAGAATGCATATTCGCCGCTGAAGTTAGATTTACTTTGCACCATGACCTGCTTGCATCTAAGCCTTGATGCGCTATGTAAGTTAAATAGTTACTTTTCTATCAATTTTTGACTTAAAATTTATTCATGATTTGATCATATTTTTCACGAAATAATTTTATAAATGAAAATTTGTTTGAAAACATTAATTATACCAACTAAAAACCTGTGAAAAACTAATGAAACAAAATGTAATCAACTATCCACTATCGTATGAGAACATTATACGTTAAAATTGCATCATCATTTTTATATAACTTCGCACAGCATTCATGTACAACCAATCAGCCTTGAGTCGACAAGAGCAGAGTGGCGCAGTGGAAGCGTGCTGGGCCCATAACCCAGAGGTCCGTGGATCGAAACCACGCTCTGCTAAATTTTTTTTTTCGTTTTAATCATAAAAATTAAAGTGTATAGGTTATTTATCATAAGTATAGTTTTTTCCATAAATTTTTTTTTCGATTCTATTTTTAAATAAATTCTAGTAGAATTGAGCCTTTTTCATTTGAATATGTGTGTAAAGCAAAAAAAATTATTTTAAATTCTAAATATAAAATTTAAATAAACAATAAGAAAAAATTTATATATAACTTTTTCTAAACTGCAAACAATTGCAATAAATATTAAATGCTGCATGAAAGTTGAATTTAATTTTCCAGCCATTGAATTCCAGTTCACCGAGATCATAAATGATCAAGAATCGTACTGTGACTGATTATAATTTATAATACTAATACATTAATATCATTGTGTTTTTTTTTTTTAATTTTCATAAAAAAAGATAAAATAAAATTTTATTTTGACAAATGCATTCTAATTAACTCCAGAAAAGTAGATACAATGACTTGTAAAGGGAGGTTCTCATGTAGCGATTTAAAAAATTACGGGGTTTTTTGAATGTTTAACTCTCGAAAGAAAGTGAAGTAGTCAAGTTTTTTGTAGTTATTAGGTATTATAAAGTACATTATGAAACAGTGGCATGAGCATGTTCGTAATGTGCTACTTATGACGAGCGCTCGTGCGCTAACCTCACTCCGCGGTACCAAAAAGTGCGACTTATAACTCGGAAAAAGGGGCATAAATGTGAACTTAGCACAGTGCTATAAAACAGTATATTGTACACGTGTCATAATGTACTAGTAGTATATTACGTGTGACTTAAGCAGGCCATTATTGTACTGCAATTGTTTCGTGGCAAGAATGGGCTACTTGAGTCAAAAGTATCTTACGCTTTGTTATAGCACTGTGCTAAATTCATGTTTAGGCCCCCTTTGGCGAGATATAAGGTGCTCATAATAGTGTCGCGGTGCAATAATGCGAACCTTAAACGTGAACTTTAGCCATGCAGTGCAAAAAGTTAATTATACAAAATTGTGTGTTCGAGAAATATTCGAACAGGTATGAGCGAGCGGCTTGTACACGCACACGTTTACGTGCTGTGCAAGCGTCGGTGTGATTCTCACTGCGCGGCGAGAGATGGCGTCGCGCCGCGGC